AGGCCCAAGTGAAGCCAATCCACTGAGACTACGGTCCAGCCCCAAATATAATCAGGATACTGGTTTTAATTTGGGCCGTCATACTGTAACAGGCCCATTATGCTTTCTGATGTTTAATTGGGCCTCAAAATAACAAATTGAGCTTCTTACCAAAAAGGTGGCTGGACTTGTCCGTTGTAAGTAGAGTACTTCAAAAAAAACCCAAAGTTCAGTAGAAGGGATTAATTTTTTTCAACTTGGTGAATTAAAGTTTGAATCTCTTTTAAAAGTTATATCCACATCTAGTGTATACCAGTGTTTAGTTGCCTTCAATAAAAAGATAAATGTGTGTGGCAAAAGAAAATAAAAAATAGAGAAGAATTTCATCTTTTCCTTTGGCTAAAACCGAATAAACTTGTTTTAAGATTGTAATTATTATTACATTAAAGTCAAATTCCATAAAGTTGAAATATTGAATAGCCGACCTAGATTAAATAAGAAGAGCATTGTCTTGCCTGCAACTAATTTCTGGCCGACCGAACTTGAAATTAGCACATTTATTACTCATTTAAGGTTTGATTTATTTGAGTCTTTGGGGTTGTAATGTCAAATAATTGCCCACCGTCCTTGGAAAGTTGATATGAAAATGACATGGCAATTGTTACATTTGATATAGTCGATAATAATGGCACACGTTTTCAATCCAACTCAATAATGTAATCATATAATTGTACAATCTGTGGCGTTCATATTTTGTGTAACATTTTCTTATAAAAAATTCCTCAAAAAAAAAAACGTGAAATTAATAAATTTTAAATCATATTCTGTAACAATACTTTAATAAGTTTTTAATAACATTAAACTTTACAAATAATAACACATTTTTTAGGAATTTCTTATATTAAATTTAGTAATTTCAAAAAAAATTTTATAGGATTCTCTTTAGATAATAATAGTAGGAATTGGAAAATACTGAAATAGGGAAAGATTGAAGAAAATGTGTTATCGGTGGTAAAAAGAAAAAAGAGAAAATGCATTATTGTTCTTCTAGACGGAGGGAAAATCTTTTATACTTCTTCATTTATTGCTTCAATTTAGATGACATTTTGTGATATATTAAAGTTAATTAATTAATGTGTTTATTCTGACTCTGACAACTAAAAAAAATAGTTTATCCCACCACTCCTCATTGTTATTGAAGGAGTATACTTAAGAAAAATCTTAAATATTTTAGGAACACTAGCTAGTTGTATCGGTTTGTATTAAGAAAGACCTCTCTATTTTTTTTAATTTTATATTATTATACACACAAATGTATCAACACTAGACTTAAGCCTCTCATTATACTACCTCTGATTTTAATTATAAAACATCGTTTGCAATCTACACTATCTCCGGGTCTAATTATGAGACATCGTTTACAGTCTATAAACAATGTCTTACAATTAGAACCAGAGATAGTATTATAAGACATCTCAATTAAAAGTTCTTTGTGATAATAATAAACTAATGAAGCAGTATTTTTTTAAGTTGAGGGATGACTGATAAAAATAAAGAGAATGCATGATTATTTTTCTCTTAGATTTGATTCCATTGAAATAAAGCTTCTCAATTGAGTTTCCAATAAAAAAGAATAATTTTTTAAGGGAAATTGAGGCCGCTTACCACACTAATTGATATCAGGTAAAATGACAGCCCACGTTTTTGTAATTAAATTGATTATTTACAAATGTTGAAGGGTCATTTTCTTAGAAATAGTGACATCTATTTAAGTAATCATCATTACTCTAGAGAGTTACGTATTTAATTTATAGATATTAAGAAAAATTAATTAAACTATTCATTATAATTTGGGTTGCTTTTCCTGAAAGCTTTCTTTAAGCGTAACTCCACATATACAATCAATCAATAAGAATAACTTAAAGTTAAGGAGGGATGTATGGACAGAGATCAGCCAATATTCAATATACGAATATAAGAATATATTTATGGCCAAGAAATCATACCATTTGCAAACTATAAATTATAATAACATGCTTTATTTTCTTGGGAAAAAAATAACGTTACAAAACAGTTTATGTCTTAATGCCCATGTGCCCTCTAAAGTCTTTATGTATATACACAGTTACACACGTATCCATAAGACCATCTTGCACTTCTCTAAACATCTTCTAAGGCATACTGAGTTATAAAAATATGCTAATCTTTTACACTATACCTCTGCCTTTGTAAGATTGCTTTTAACTGAATTATCAACATACTCTTTCCAACTCTACTTAACTAATTCGAATAGATTGGAAAAATTAGTTAAGTTAGTTATTTATCATAAATATGAATTAGTTTTTTTAAAATACTCTGTTATCTTTGATTATGGTTATTATTGGATGGAAATTGTTTGATATATACAATTAATATGGATATTTTAGCGAACAAATTACAAATTTGGAAGATAAAGACATCGTTTGGATTGTATATTCTTATTTAAGTACTTATAAGTATATTTTATGTGAGTCGAGACAAAACTTTTCATATATATTTACCTTGTATTTTGTAAGTTATGATTAAAAGGATGCTTACAGGTCATACCAAACAATCTCGTAGATTATAAAGTTTTATGTTCATGATCAAATTCAATTCCAATTAGATTTTATAGTAAAAAATGGAGGTAGTAGATATGCAATCGTTGATGAAAGTTTAAGTCAAGCAATAAAATTACATTTCATCACAACCTGCTTCAAAGACTAGTTGCCACCCTCATCCCATACTTCATTGCTTATGAATTCAGATCCCGCTTGATTCACTCATGAATATCCCTAATATATATATATATATATATATATATATAAAAGAAAAACCAAGTTTAATGCACTAATAAGAGGAAGAGGGTGAGATAAGAATATGGGAAAAAGATAGTAAAATACCCTCAAAATTACTAAATGACAAATGAGGGTATTTGAATTTCAAAATGCCAATTCAGAGCCAAGTACTTTTTTGGAATTTTGAAATCTTGTAAAATTATACAAATACTCTTTACTATTTTTTTTTACCTTTTTTTCTAAATACTGCCACCTCAGCAATTCCTGCCGCCGGAGCTCCAATGCTGGCAACCCTACCGGCGACCCCGGAACTCCGGTGACTACTATTTTTTAACTATTGACTACATTTATTTTTAAACTCTGTAACATGTTACTAGAATTCCGGTGACTACTCTTTCTTATGTATTGATTACTTTTTTTAGTTATTGACCACATTTACTTTTAAACTTTGATGACTACTCTTGTTAAGCGACTGACTACTCTAGTAATGCGATTTACTACTCTTGTATAGTCAGTAGCTATATAAAAGCAGTCATCGGAACTTTGAAAACAAAAGTAGTCAATAGTTAAAATAGAGTAGTTAACAGCTATATGGAAGTAGTCACCAACAATAAGGACAATATTGTCATTTTATAAGATTTGGAAATTCCAAAATAATACATGGGACCTGAATTAGGATTTTAAAATTTACCTACCCTAATATGTTATTTAGTAATTTTGAGAGTATTTTGCTGTCTTTTTCCCTAAAAATATTATTTTTTATATTATCTAAATACCTCAGCTGTTAAAACTCTGAAAAGAATTGCACAGTAACCACTTCTTTTGTCAGGAATCATCAAGTCAGATTTTAACAAGTTAAAATGTGACCTTGACACATCAAGTCTAATTGAGTTATATAAATATAAAGTTCTCCTGCAATAAATTTTTATTTTTTCAATTTTTTTACCAGCATTTTTTCAATTTAAACTCGAAGGTTTAGAAAAAAATCTTATTCATGAAAATTTAATCACGGTTAAGCTCTTTTTTATTTAATTAATCAATTCATACATACATTCTTTTTAGGAAAAATTCTAATTAAATCCATTTGAAATAGCAAAATTCTAATTTAAGCCTACACTTTTAACAAATTCTTAATTAGGCCAAGAGGCTTAACTGGGGATTTCTAAATATTGCTAAAAGACCAAAATGCCCTTCATAATTAAAAAGCCTAATTTTAGTTTTAATTCTTTTAATTGAATTTAACTAACATGTTTTTTTCTTTAAACATTATCACATGAAAATTTGGCCAAAAACATTATCATATAAAAAAAAGAAGAAAAATAACGATTATAGCCCATAAAAAATAATTGAAAATTCAAGATAAAAAAATACATAATTTCTAGATATCTATAGAATTGCAAAAATATGGGAACTAATAAAAATTTTATGATTTCAAATGTAAAAGATTAACAAGATCAAAGATTTTTTTTGTGTGTGTGAGAAAAAGACCAAATCAAAGATTCATGGAATTCTTGAATATCTATCAAAATTAATTTTACTATTTCACAACTTACAGTGAAACTCATTAATTCATTTTCAATTTTCCGGTCTTCAACATTTATTCAATATCAAATTTTTATTATATAAAAAAATAAAAGGCTATAAATTCTAGAGTTGACATAAGGTTTACAATTACAAAACACACATTTGACATAAAATCTAAGAAAGACCACGTCCTCATTAGTAAATTTACTAAAATAATTAAAACTAAAATTAGATTTACACCTACATTCAATTTTTCTTTTTGATTACAAAGAGGCATTCCGGTCTTTTAGCAACATTTGAAAATCCCTAATAAGGCCTCTTAGCCTAATTAAGAATTCATTAAAAGTATAAGCCTTAATTGGAATTTCATTATTTTATAAATAGATTTAATTGGGATTTTCCCTTCTTTTTATGCATTGCTATATTTAAATTAAATATAAAATATAAAATATAAAACATGAGTCAACGCTTCATTTAAGACCCAATGGCAGGCGGTCTCCCTCATTCCCTGCACCTTCTCCTCTCCTAGGGTCCCACGTGTCACACTCGCTGATAATGGAGCCCACATCCTGGATTGCCCTGTGGAGGCTACATATTGTGTTCAGTTCTGCTATATATATAAGCGCTTCACTCTCTCTCTTCTTCTTTTCTTTCTGTCGCCTGCGCCGACGCTCACCGGCGATTATTTATTAACTTATTACTATTATTTTCCTTTTTTTTTTCCAAAAAAATTTTGTTTAGATTTTCCATCTGAGCTCCGAGCTTCAGCCCTTGCCCATTGGGTACGCTATAGGATCTTAAGATCACGTGCTCTTTCATCCTGATTCGTGACGAAGCTTTAGCTCCGGCAGGTGTGCGCTCAATCTTCTTCTTCAATGCCCTCTCACCGGGTTGATAGGTTCTGAGACTTGGATTTCCAATCGGGTGGGTGATTTTAAGGGTTTAAGATTGGTAATTTGGCTGATTTGTGAATAGGGATCAGGTTTGGCGCGGCACTGATTGGAAGGTCTTGATTCATGTGAATTGCTTTCCGTTACTGCAATGTCTGGCCCGCTGGATCGTTTCGCCAGACCTTGTGAGTGGCCTTTCTCCATTTCTCTTTACTTTCCCTTTCTTGTATAATGCGAGGCGGGTCTTACTTTCTTGGCGCGCTATTTCTAGGGTTTTTGCTCCTCTCATTTTCTCTTTCAAGAAATTAGAATTGGAATGTGAAGGGAAAATTTTTCGGGTTTGACATTAGGCTGGAGAATTTAGCTAGGCTAAGCTAACAACTGTTGGGAGGGAGACAAATGCCATTGTTTTCTGGTTCTCCCGAGGTCGTTTAGTGAATTTGGTGCTTACTCCCCCTTCTAGAAAGGGAAAAAAATTATCGCCATTTTTTTTTGGGATCTGTTCCCGATGATCGGACTGGCCAGGCTTAGGTTATCAGAACTTTGAGAAATTTTGAATCTTTAATTTTGGGTTTTATGTGGTTGATGAATACTAATCTTTTTAAAACAAGAATATTGCGATGTGCACTTTTCGGCTTTCACATTTTCTTTCTTTCTTTCTTTCTTTTTTTTTGTTAAATGACTCATGCTGAAAATGTATACCTTACATTTTAATTCTACGTTTGCTAAATGCTTGCAGGCTTCGAGGGATTCTCTGGAAGTGATGAAAGACGGGATAGGAGATCTGATTTTGAGAACTCTGAGGACGAAAGACGGACAAGAATTGGTTCTCTCAAAAAGAAAGCAATTAATGCATCTACCAAATTCAAGCATACTCTCAAGAAAAAGAGTGGGAAGAGAAAAAGTGATGGCCGGGTTAGTTCGGTTTCTATTGAGGATGTTCGGGATGTTGAGGAGCTAAAGGCTGTTGAGGCCTTCAGACAATCACTGATTATGGATGAGTTGCTCCCAGAAAAACATGATGATTACCATATGATGTTGAGGTGCGATTTCGTTTAGAGCGCAAAAAATTTTACTTTCTCTGTTTATGCGGATATTCATGTTGAAGAATTTGATTTTTGATGCAATTTATTTTTTATAAGCAGATTTAGGACTTTGATGGGACAATCTTCCAATATCATTGTCTGCATATACCGAGTTAGGAATTTCTTTTGGCACACTGCAACAGTGCATTTTATTTAAGAGGATAATGTACATAAGAGTATTTTATAGGGATGTGAAACCCGTATTCCAACCGTAATTCTTTGAATTTAGCTTACATGCTCCATTTCAGCACTATGATTTCATGACTGAAAAATTGACACTCAAATAGGAGTCTCATTCATATATCTTCGTATTTAAGAATTTTACACGCACGAGATCAGTATAGTTCGCTGCTAATTTGTCTATGGTGGTCTTAGAATTAATTTTAGGATCTTTGTTTTATAGTTGTTTTTATTCCCCTTAATTTTTACACCGTACAGGTTCCTAAAAGCAAGGAAATTTGATGTTGAAAAAGCAAAGCACATGTGGGCTGATATGCTCAAATGGAGGAAAGATTTTGGTGCTGACACTATCTTGGAGGTAATATATTATGTGGAAAATACTTGACTTCAGCTGATTAAAATTGAGGGGACTAGACTTAAACTTTGAGTGCTTGATATTTTCTGCATACATCATGCTTAATATTTTGTTTTAATCAGGATTTTGAGTACAAGGAGTTGAATGATGTTCTGGATTATTACCCTCATGGTCATCATGGTGTTGATAAGGAGGGAAGGCCGGTTTATATTGAAAGACTTGGAAGGGTTGATCCAAACAAACTTATGCAAGTGACAACTTTGGAGAGATATGTAAAGTACCATGTACAAGAGTTTGAGAAAATTTTTGCAATTAAGTTTCCTGCCTGCGCCATTGCTGCCAAGAGGCACATAGATTCTAGCACCACAATCTTGGATGTTCAAGGCGTGGTATGTTTTCAATAATTGTTCACCATTAAAGTTGCTTGTGAAATTATTTCTTATGACATCTATTATCAGGGTCTGAAGAACTTTACAAAGTCTGCCCGGGAACTCATTATGCGATTGCAAAAGATTGATGGAGACAATTACCCTGAGGTGAGTAATCCCTCTTTCTTTCTGCACTTTTTGAATTTTTTCATTGGATACCATCATTTCTGGAAAATTTGGGTGATGCCTCGCTGATGAATGTTCTGTCTTTTATTTATGATACAGACTCTCTGCCAAATGTTTATTATAAATGCTGGCCCTGGATTCAGGCTACTGTGGAACACAGTCAAAACTTTTATTGATCCCAAAACGACTTCTAAGATTCATGTATGCAAAAATGCCGCCTTCTAACTGGTTAAGAGTTTTATTTTTAATAATTGTTTAAGGCTGTGGACATATCTCTCTATTTAATTTAATTGCTTATTGAAATTGCATAGGTTCTTGGAAACAAGTACCAGGGCAAATTGCTTGATATAATTGTTGCCAGGTATTTTCATGTTTCTGCATATGGTAGAATTCTCTTCTTTAAATACTTTTTTCTTTCACGAATACCTTCATGCTTTTCTAGCTTCTTCAGAGCATCCTACCGTGCCTAATGATTTTGTGCACTTAATGAAGTGAGTTGCCAGAGTTTCTTGGAGGCACCTGCACATGTGCAGATCTGGGAGGTTGCCTTAGATCTGACAAAGGGCCTTGGAAGAATCCTGAAATATTGAAGGTAATATGCTGTTATTGGATGCATTACTGATACTTTACCTTTGATTGTACAACTGTTTTTATACGACATCAGTTGGACTTGTTTGTTTTAGGCTAATAGTTGAATTTATGTGGACTTATTGCAGATGGTTCTCAAGGGTGGAGCACGGCGGGCTAGGCAGGTGGTAAAAGTTCTAAACAGTGAAGGGAAGGTTATTGCATTTGCAAAACCTAGATATCCAATGGTAATCCTCCTCTGTTTATAATTGCTTTATTTGAGTGGAGTTTAACTTAATGTCATCATGTTGATCCTCTACTCTGGCATCCTTTCTTTTGAACATATATCAAGTGATAATGTCTCTTGAACAGGTTGAACAGGTAAAAGGCAGTGATACATCTGCCGAATCAGGGTCTGAAGCAGAAGATATTGCTTCTCCTGATGCAATGAAGAGTTACTCACATCTTAGGTTGACCCCTGTTCGTGAGGAAGTAAGTGTTGACCTTTTTTTCCCTATTACTTTGAATGTCTTTATTATATGAAAAGAATTGCTAGTGCTTTTCTGAAGGTCTTTTGTGCAAATCAGAGACTTAAAACTTTATTCACATTTATAAGTTATTTGTCAGGCTAAGGTAGTTGCAGAGACAAGCTATGCTGGTAGCTTATCAGCATATGATGAGTATGTTCCAATGGTGGACAAATCTGTTGATGCTAGCTGGAAGAAGCAACCATCTCCACAGATGTCTTGTACTTCTGAAGGTTAGCAACTTTTGCTTAGAATATATAGCTAATTTGCGGAGATATTACTTCATGGTACTTATTGACTACAAATAGAAATTTCCTCTAAAATTGATCTTGCACTATGCTGTGAGTCCACTCTATTCCAAATCTTATTATGCTTAATCATCCTACGTCTTTATCTCTGTTGGAGCTTGATGGTCGTAAATGCATATCAGTTTTCTCCTCTGTAATTGTTAGTAGCTTTAGCAGGAACTTTGATAGCTATAAATGGATAATCACTGTTGAATATTGTCACTTCATATATTGAACGATTAAGAGGAATTATATTTTAACTTGGGAATTGGGATCAGTTAATGTCATACTGTGGTGAATCGGTGCAATAGGCGTAGTTGAAGATGTGAGCTTGATTTTCAGTCTTGCATGCAAAAATTTATTTTAACTTTTAATACCTGATTAGATTGAGAATTGAGTGGTGCAAATTTTAATAATTTGAATTATTTGGCGTGATTCACTCTCGGAATGTGAATTTTCCAATTCAGGGCTGCCCCCCCTTGCTGACATTCAGACCACTCCAGATGGGATTCGAACACGAATTTGGGTCGCCTTGACTCTTTTCTTCTTGACCCTTCTCACTTTCTTCCAATCAGTTGCACGTCGTGTGGCCAACAAACTTCCTACAATATTAGCCAACGATGGTCAGAGTACTTCTGAACCAACGCTTGATGCAACAAACAGGGACTGTCATCTTTCTTCACCGCCTTCAGCAGCACATACAGAAGAAGCAGACCAACTTTCCTTCATGCTAAAGAAGTTGGGTGAGCTTGAAGAGAAGGTTGACACCCTTCAATCTAAGCCATCTGAGATGCCTAATGAGAAAGAGGAATTGTTGAATGCTGCTGTCTGTCGCGTGGATGCTTTAGAAGCAGAGTTGATTGCTACAAAAAAGGTAGGGTTCTCTTACATTTGTGGCTGTTCACTTTTCCCCAGTCGGGGCCAATTACAGTCATTCACGTTCAAAATGAACTCAAATCATGTCTTTCTTGTCATCTGTTTCTACATCTGCATTGGAGAATGGTTGATATAAAGCATGGATTTGTGAGGCAATAGGATTTTAAAGCTAATGAATTGAATAGAAACATCTATTAATTTCTGCTTGCATTTGACTTAAGGCAGCAAAGCTGGCATATACGTTATATGGGTTGGTCAGTGGGTTTGTTTATTTCTGGTCTGACTGATGTCCAAGTAAAGCTTGATCATATTGCTTAAGTTTTCATCAGTGCAAATTTCCATTTCCTTGCATCTCGTGTCGTGTTGAATTATTTGAATCACTTAATGGCCTTGTGCTTATGTGGAGAATACATAATGCCTTTCACTTATTGTTGGCCCACTTAGAGCGGGACTTTATTGTTGCATTTACTTGATTTTGCTTCTTTTACGTGACTTGTTGCACAGGCTCTCCATGAAGCCTTAATAAAGCAAGAAGAACTGCTTGCCTGCATCGATCGTCAAGCAGCAGCAAAGTCACGGGTAAGTTGGCTGAGCTGTTTTTCTAAACAGTTTTTTAAGGGGACGTTTTTTCAAATCTCTAGTTCTGACGTGTGGCATTTCCTTTATTTTGCTGCTTGGGCATCAGAAAAAGAAGTTTTGCTGGTGAATGTTGCTGCTACGAGAGAGACTACCCGGAGGAGGATTTGTTTCTAAAGTCACGGTGTTTATAATGCTGATGAAAATGTGATTTTTTTGGAGTTACTTAAACGCTACTTGTGACTTACCCGCTGTCCTAAGATGCCGTTTGATATATGTTCAACTTTTTTTGGATCTTTCAAAATTCGTTTATAAGACATTTGGGCTCGATATATGTAAAAGGATAATTTTTCAAATTATTATTTAGGATATATAACATAAATTTCAATTGTTTCTGATGTTATTTAGGATGCTTAGGGTTGTTTTTTTTTTGGGGGTTAATGATGTGGTTAGTGATAATATTTGTCAGTCTCCATGGTAGTTGCAACCGGAATGTGCATTTATACCTTATTGCTAGGGCGTTTGAACTGTCTTAATATAACTTTATATATATAAAAAATTCTTTCTAAAGCATACTTCGAACTTAGAAATTGGATATAAGTTAATAGTGGCCCAAAATAAAAAATGAATAGACAAGAATTTGGAGATTATGAGGTCTGAAATCGCCAATTGAATAAGGTAAGAATCGGAGGACTTTGAAACTGTTATTTGAGAGTTTAAGGATTTCGATAGTTATCAGCAAAAATGTGAGGAAATAAAACGAAATCTGAATTTTGGTGTTGTTACCCCGGCCAATTCAACTATGGTTTATGATCTTCTAAGCCCAAATGTTTCTTGTACCAGTTGACCATCCCAAAATCTAATACCGATTCAAGTTCAACAAAGTATTTGATCACTACCAATATTACACCATGGATTTTTTTTTTTAAAAAATTCTAAAGAAAGTAAATCGATAAAAATGTCTGAAAAATTAGTCAATTCTAGAGTCATCTTTCAAGTATTAAAATAGTCCTGTTAAATCAAGCTGAAGTTCATCAATAGACTGTACACTTCAGGTCAAAATAACCAAAAAAAAAAAAAAAAGAAGCTGTGCACTGACACTATAAAAAGAACGTTAATAAAAGATGCCCGCCCAAGTGAGTCACTACAACATGTAACTTACGTACTCATTTTATGAATTCGCACCGTTAAATTGCCTCAACTTGAAATGAGTTGCCCGAGGATATTGAAAATAGAACTTCTAATTCACCAATTGACTTGGTACGAAACATACAGGAGCCCAAACAAAACTGGCGATATCATAAGAGTATGAACATGTGAAAGGCGCAAAACTTGAGTGGCAGAAAAATATGTTAAGAAATCAAAAGTATTCACATCACAGAGAACAATGTACACGAGTTTTTTAGACAAAGCAACAATATCAAAATAAAAGAATGGAGTTGAAGATGGCCAACTCATTTTCAATACAACAGGCACAGGCGTTTCCTTCAGCTTTACCAGCGGAACTGCATTCCCATACCCAAGAAGAACATCAGAATGTTTCTCAAATATATTAAAAGGAGAGGGTAAAAAGAAAAAGAAAAACTAATATCAAGTCACATACAAGTCTCCTTTTCCTCTTCTTCTTATCAATGGCTGCTTGGAGCTCCCCCTGTCGAGCAAGTGCATTATCAAGCTCCTATTCCCACAAACCACACCATACGGTTAGTCTTATCCATCTCATTTCTTGTATAGAGGGATGATAATGAAACGGGATGGTTTAAAAGACAAATCTTTCTAATCCGTAGTTCTTATCATTGATAGTCTGAGTTGAGTACCTTTTTGGCTTCATTCACTTGATTCTCTAGAGCACTGACTCTCGCAAGAGCAGCATTCAACATTTCCTCCTTTTCTGGAGGCATGGGAGGTTTGCTAGCCAGAGCATTGACCTTTTCTTCAAGCTCAGCCATGCGCTTCATCAGCAACATGTGGTCGCAGCCGGTAACTGGTGGTGGTGCCGGCAACTGACGATGCCCTTTTGTCATGGCTCCGTCGTAATGTTCTGAGTTGCTTTGAAGTGCTGCTTCTGTGAGCTTCCTAGGCATGTTCTTCGTCACCCTAATCAATGTCAGTATTCCCATTATTAATGTCATGAACCTTCCTACTATTTGACCGCTCAATCTATCATTAGGCTTGGCAGCTAAACAATCTGCAGCTTCAGCAATTCCAACATCAGAATCTAACAAACCCTATTCAACTAGCATATCTTAATAAATTGCATGTTGATGGCCAAACAAGCAAGAATCACAAGGCACTAACAAGATATGTAAAGGCTTGTTAACAACTATAGAACTGCACGTAATACCTTTGGAAATTGCAAGTTTATCTTTTGCTCTTGACCAAGGTGAATCAACAGTTTTGTCCACCATTGGGACAGAGACATCATATCTGTAACCACTCATTTGCTTTGCAATCTGCAATACATAGTGGGAAGAATTCAAAAGAAAATGAAGGTTGACAGCGTATTTGGAAACATGAGAGAAATTAGCATGAACCCAGAAATCTTTTTCATTGATCAAGTGATGACACTTGTTACAGTTTTTCTTAGTATAGATAAAAAAGAAGATAAGTTGTCCTCGCAATGCTCATGGTTCTCTGTCCTCTGGCATGGCAAATTTCACCACAATATGCAGTTTCCTTGAACTATCAAGAAAAAGTTTATAGCAAAAACCAATAGTGAAGTCTAGGAAACTTACTTCTGGTTTGGCATGCTCCACGGTTGGCGATAAGCATTTTATGTTCTTGAAAGAATCGCCTCCCTTAATGTTGTAGCAATCAGAAAGAAATACGGAGAAGAATGTTTCAGAACAAGAATTGTTATTGCACGGTGAAACTTTCAAAAGATGTGAAAACGAGTACCTTTTGGTAAACTGCTTCATCCTCATTTATTGTTTTCTCCTCAATACCAGCCAAGGCTCTCCTTTGGCATCTCCCCTCACCATTTTGAACCATCTAATCATCAAAAGAACACACTCCATTCTTGTCTTATGATGCCATAAAATGAAGCTAGCCAACAAAACTGGTAGTTCATCAGTAAACTACCTTGAAGATTTCTGGGTCATTCCATGGTCCCTTGTCTGAGAGCATGCAACCACCTTTATCTGCGCAAGTACAAGTACCTCCCAAGAACTCTGGAAGTTCACTGGTAAATAAGAAGGACCAATAAGAAGTTAAGGGAAGAACTATGCAGTGTCATGAGATTTAACTCAAGTGAATTTTGTTCTGTTACTCGTGAGTTAGGTAGGCTTAATTTGTGTGGAAATGAGATATTGTATACTCAATGAGAGGAGGGGCAAAATTGAACCTGGCATCAATGATTTCAAGCAACTTGCTCTGGTATTTGTTGCCTAGGACCTGGAAAATAAATCATCAATAAACTGTCGTGTGTGACTGCTTTGCCAAATTGAAAGGATACTTCAAAAGAAGTCACTAGCTATTGCTTAGACTTCAGAGATGAGAAGTTTGAACAGTTAGCAATAGGTTTTAGCCTCAAACCTCTGCTTTGTCATAGATGGGAATAAAAATGGCTTCAAAGGGATAAGGGGATTAGAAATACGTACATGGATTTTTGCAGAGGTCTTGGGGTCAAGGAATGACTTCACGGTGTTCCACAAGAGCCTAAATCCAGAGCCAGCATTGATGATGAACATTCGGTTCAAGGTCTAAGTGGAAAGAAAGGAAGATCAATTAGTGCATATTGCGATTATATCATTTACTCTGGGCAGGTACCTTGTGAGATGACATAACAATCCATATCTTTTTGTCATCATTCTCTCTCCTAATACATGATTTTATGATTGTAACTGATTCAATTTGGTAGAAAAAAGCTAGAGCATACGTAGCCAAAGGAGTACCTCAGGATAGTTGTCACCATCAATCTTCTGAAGCCTCTGAATGAGATCCCTTGCGGCTTTGTTGAAATTTTTCAGTCCCTGGTCAATTATGCCAGCCATCAGTTTTGTTTTACTTACTTTTTAAGTATATGTTTCACATTATTTGTCACTTAATGTTACCGTCAAGATTCTCGCTATAAGGTCTTAAAGTAAACGACGATATATCGTCCTTAATATTACAATGACATTAATATGTATGTATATAGAATTTCATACATACCACTCCTTGCACGTCCAAAATGGTTGTGCTTTGGTCAATGTGTTTCTTTGCTGCAATTGAACAGGCAGGGAACTTCACAACAAAGGTTTTCTCGAACTCTCTTACGTGATACTTAACATAGCGATCCAATGTTGTCACTTGTAACAGCTTGTTAGGATCAACCTGACCCAGTTTTTCAATGTAAACAGGCCTTCCATCCTTATCCACTCCATGATGCCCTTGTGGGTAGTATTTCAGAACTTCGTCTAGTTCCTTAAACTCAAAATCCTTAGGGAACATTTGTTAACTTGAGGTTAGACTTTCAATTAATCAGTGATTGTGCAGGAAAAACATCAGATAGGCTGCACAGGAGTATACCTCCATGATAGTGTCAGCACCAAATTCTTTTCTCCATTGAAGCATGTCTGCCCACATTTGCTTTGTTTTCTCAAAGTCAAACTTCCTTGCTTTCAAGAATCTGTATCATCATGCGGTAACTTCATGCCAAGAACGATTTCAACTCAAAACTTCTACTAAAGTGAACGACCATGAATATTTAAACTATGATATGTAACATGTCCTCTCATACTTGCTATGTGTTTGGTTTTATTTTGGAGGCCATAAAAACACAACGTGAAACCAAACATGTACTTAGTCTTATAACTGGTTAACAATCATAAGGCCTATGGATAATTTTGACTATGACAAGGGCTACCTTAACATCATATGATGATCGTCGTGCTTGGCGGGTAATAATTCTTCCAAAATAAGCATTTGGCGAAAAGCATCAACCGCCTGCAACTCTTCTGCATCAAGGTCATCCTCAATTGACAGAGACATGACCCTGCTGTGCCTGCGACCTCTCTTTGAAAAGGAACTCTTGAACCTATTTGAAGCACTGATTGCCACCTTCTTTATAGCTCCAACCCTTTTCTTCCTTTCTTCCTCTGAATATTCATTTTCAACACCTGTAGTATTAGGATGAAGAAAAGGGTTTAGGTGAGAACCTGGCTCTGCAAACACCACAGAACCATGTTACCAGATTCTTATTTAAGTTTTAGAGATGTTTGATTTGTCATCAACCTAATAATTTTCCTGAGAAACGTTATTGAACGCTCGGAGACCAGCATAGCTGGGATGGCTCATGGCTGTAAATATTTTGTGAAAAAATTCTGCCGTAGTTTTTATGTTTCTTATCAAGTTCTTGTTTTATCTGCATGCGACGTGCAGATTCTCATTCTTTCATTTTGCCTATTTCACACCTTCATGATC